GTTACACTCAGCTGGACGATAGCAGGATTTTTAGTTTGCAGTGCACAGCTCTGCCAATAGAGGACTCTCCGGCCTCAAGTGTGCCAGTGAGAGGAGGTAAGCCTATAAGCCGGCTGTCATTGGCAGCTGATCCAAATTCTATGCGCTGATCATGTTTACTGGCCTGTTCCAGCCCTCCCATTGCCCTGTTTACTTTCCATTAGAGACGAATTGACACCTTCCATTTGCAGGATCGAAGAGGCACCCAGTTTAAACTGTGTGAGGTCTGCTGTGTTAAGAGCAGACCTCTCACCGTGATCTGAGTTACAGATGTAGCAGCATGGGCCAATCACTCCACTGAAATCAGATTAATAATAGATGACGGCGTTCCAGTCGGATCGACAAACTCTCTGAAGGCTTGAGATCCGAGCTGGGCCTGAATGAAAGAGGCTGATGTGTAATTCATGGATTCTTCAGACCGCGACTCGTGGTGTTCTCTCATTCACTTTCTACTGTCCTCAGCTCATTATTCCCTCTCTGTCTCATTCACTTTTCATTCATGTCCACGTGCCAGCCTCCTTCCCGGTTCACGGCTGGGTGCCGCCCTCTCCGGCCCGCCTGTCTCTGAGCTCGGTCGACGAGACTACAGAGGGATCCGAGACCGCGTTCGAGTCCAGAGCTGGAGACGAGCACCAGTGGATGGTGAGATGAAAACACTGCAGAGGCAGAAGATGGTCCTCGGCTTCATGTGACATCACTGCAGAAATATTCATCCTGTCAAGCCAATTTTATCTGTTACTGAGCTTAGATTGGTGGGGTTATATCTCCATTTTTTTACTGTATAAAGTGCTGCAGTATTGATAATATTGATCTAAATCAACAGCAATTACTTTATTTTGAAAGTTGCCATATAATTTTTCAAATGAAGGCTAATCCGTGCAGAAAAATGCCCGCCCCAAAAAACCTTTGCATGGGCGTGCACTGCTCCCTTCACTACGGAGCCCCGCAGGGGACATGGGAGAAAAAAAAA